ACACAACCAGGGAACCACCTTTAATTCCAGCAAGAGGCAACAGGTTGTTCCAGCTATTGTCCTCCACATGCAGACCTCGCTTGATTGTACCGTGCTTTACTGAACTTTGTAGACATTGTGTTTCTTACAGGTTGAAGCAAGTCTACGGGCACTCCTCTGGGTCACATTTTGGTAATTCTTAGCAATTTCAAACTTTTTATTATTGTCTGTGTTACAGTAATCCATCATCAGTGATCTTTGATGTTACTACTATTAATATTAACATGACTCATGAAAGGCTCAGAGGATGGTTAGCATTTTTAGCAATGAAGTGTTTTTTTAATTTTATTGAAATATAGTTGATTTATGATGTGTTAATTTCTGCTGTGCAGCAATATGTTTCAGTTATACATATATATATATATAATTTTGCAGATTCTTTTCCATTATGGCTCATCATAAGATATTGAATATAGCTTCCTGAAATGAAGTATTTTTATTAAATTGAGATATGTAGATTGCTATTTTTTAAGCCATAATGCTATTGCACACTTGATAAACTACAGTACAGTGTAAACAACTTTTACAGACACTGGGAAACTGAGAAATTCATGTGACTTGCTTTATCGCAACATCTGCTTGCGGTCTGTAAATGAACCTACACTATCTCTCTGAGTTCTGCCTGTACATGAACTGTTCATTCATCCAGCCATCCAGCCATTCATACATTCTATGGGAAGGCAGCACAGAAGATGCAGTAAAACAAAGCCTAAACGTCAGGCTGGAGACCCAGCTCCACCACCTACTAGCTATATGACTTTGGGTAAAGCCCTTACCCTAAGGTTATGGTTTATTACTCTGTGAAATAAGAACAATAATGCGGCCTAGTATTAGCTTAGTTACAAGCCTGATTAAATAACTAAATATGAGTGTTGGGCAAAAAAAGCCCTCCAGGGTCAGTCATATAAAGATAATAATTATAATAAATGGTGGTGGTGGTGGTTAGTCGCTAAGTCATGCCCAACTCTTTGCAGCTCTATGGACTAGCCCGCTAGGTTCCTCTGTCCATGGGACTTCCCAGATAAGAAAACTGGAGTGGATTGCCAGTTCCTTCTTCAGGGGATCTTCCCAACCCAGGAAATGAACCCGTGTCTCCTGCATTGGCAGGTGGATTCTTTACCGCTGACCCACAGGGAAGCCCATGATAATTACTAGGACTATAAGAATATTCACTTATCTACAGCTATATACCAGACTGAGCAGCAGATCATTTTAGCCTTCTGATTTTGCAAGAGTTTTTATCGGGGCATTAGATTTCTCACAGCAACAGCCTCCACATAACCTCCCTCTCCTGCCAGGAATGACGGCAGGCCCAGAGCCACTTACAGCCTGAGGACCCCCTCCCAAAGCCATGTTTAAACAATTACAAGCTTTATGGTGCAGGTACCCATGACCATAGGAGGCCAGCCCAGCACAATGCTCATCTTGCAGAGACGTCTTTTGTGTGGGTTTTGGGTTTCAGCAGGGCAACGCCAAGCCAAGGTGTGAGTCGCAAAACAAGTTTTCATAAGTTCACCCTGTCACAACTCAGGCAGGGGTTCATGCTGACATCCCCGCAGTAAGATTAAACAGCATGCTTCATCAGGCACTAAACACTAACACAGCTCCGACGTCAGGGGGACACTGATTAAAACTGATGTCAATAATTTATGGAAACACAATATGGTCTTCAGATGCTCTTTTTTGAAAAAAAAAAAAAAAAAAGGAAGGGGGGGAGGGTCTAGCAACCCAGGTGGTTTAAAACTGTTCATGCATTTTCTCTTGAATGTATACTCCCCCCAATGCATGGATGCTTCTTTACACGATGAATATAAATGCACATGTGTATAAGAGCATGTGAACACTGCTGATACATATGGGCGGAAGAAAGTATTTAGTTATTCCACGGAGAGCTGTCGAGGCTGTTAACATTATACACAGTCTTGTCTTTCATATTGTTTTGGGTTTTCTTTTCCGGAAGAAATCCAAAATTGCGTTTAAAATAAAACTGGACCTTATAAAAATTCACGTTTACTTCATAGAGAACTCAACCTTGAAACAACCCTGAAAAGAAAGCTGGACCAAAGAAAAACCTATAGGATATAATATTTTCTTGGCCCTATATAGAACTATTTAGAAAAATAATAATATCGATGTTTTCTTAAAGTTTTAGGATGAGCAGGCGGTGAGACAGTTAACTGAGGGAACGACGTCAGTTTATTATGTCATGTCTCATTATTTTAGAAAGGCAAAGACAGACAGTGATAATGTTTCATTTTTTAATCAAAACATTTTTAGAGTAGAAAATATAGTTATTTGCCTTAGCTGTAAATAATCTGGGTAGCCTAACTTTCTATGTCAACAGTGTGAAATTCACAAGATAGGATTATGTTGGGGGGGTGGATCTGAGCCGCTGATAGTACAAAAGTTAGCGTTTGAAGGATTTATTAATGCCTTTTCCTAGTACAGTGCCCTGCAGTGTCTCAGAACACCTGTCAAATACTAATTCATTCACGTATCTCCACTTCAGGGCCTTTTCATAAAAAGCTCGACCTTTAATTGTAAATCACTTCTAAATTGTCTTTGCTGGCTTTCTCTTTTGCGAAATGATGGAAAAATCACTAAGACTTCAATTAAGACTTTATGGGAACTTCAACCTGACATTCCCGAGGCTACATCTACAAGGTATCAGAACATCTATTCAAAAAGGAAACTATAAATAACTTTAACATCATTGAATTGGCTTGGCTTTTATGAGATGACTGAATAATTGGCAAGATTTAAAGATACTTTAACTACTGAGAATTAAAATAACTTCGGTGAAACCCAGAAAATATTGTCAGCCGATTATTTGTCATGTAGATTATGTACTTATTAGGCCTAATTAAACTTTTTGAACAAAAAGGCTTACTAATTACATTAGTTAATATGTTGATTGCTCAATTTGGCTTAAAAAAAAAACAACCCCCAATCAATCCAATTTGTGCACAGAGTTAGTGCTTTGGTCAAAAGACAAAATCCTCAACTATGGAGATTATTTCAAGCGCACGGCCACTGTTAAAACAATTGCGGGTTACTTCTCTATATACAAAGTGACGGAGAGCTGGAGATGGGTGGTATCGGAACAATACCACCACGGCTAAGAGGAATCTTCAAGCCAGGAAAATGTTACCATCATAGCCAGCTTATGTGCCTCCATGTATTCACTTGCGTGTTTTCCAATCAGGCCCTGCTGGTGACGATGAGACGTTATCTTTCATATGCACATACAAGCTAACACAGATAGCCAAACCCTGGGAGGCCTTTTAAATATCAATAAAGGGTTTTCACTCACAAAAGGAAGAAAAGAAAAGAGGAAAGGCGAGAAGAAAGAGAAGAGATGGGAAAAACCAATATTTCTGAAGGAATGGAGCAGATCAAAGGCGTTCTATTCTCAAAGACGACTAAGTCGGGGAGTGACCACTGTCTCACCACCAGAATTCTGAAAAGTCTCTTCCGACCAGCCAGCAGTGGCGTCCCTTACAGGAGGGGGAAGTACAATGAGGTCTGCAGAAGTGGACCCTTGGATGGAGTACAAAAATGGAGATCGGGCCATGCAACAGGAGAACCGCCCTCTGCAGATCAGGACGCCCGCCTGGGCCTCAGAGCCGACCAGGCTTCTCCAAAACATGTTTTCCATTCCGAGAAAGTCTGCATCCACAAGTCATGAGGCACAAACTATTCAACAACAACATGACACAATTAATCAGAACCAGACCTCAAGACGTGTGTTTGTGGGGTCCAGCAAACTTTGTAATGTGCCTCAGAGGCGGAGGCAACTGAAGAGACTCACACTGGCTGCGTGGAAGGGGGAGGAAATGACTCTATTTCACCCAAGGGCAGATGGCCGAACTAAATGATTTTCCTTAAAATAAAGCGCGGGATTTGTACCTGTACATCTCACACTGGAAGAGCTGAGTATGGTCTCCCTACCTACCTTTCCTCTACTTTTCTTCTTTTTCTCCTCCTGAGGAGAAACTGAGGGCTCAGAGTTTCTACAGCAGCAAGTTTCTACATACAGTTTCTGGCTGTATGATCCAGAAACAGAATGGATTTCTTCTTTTTTTTTTTTCAAGACTCATTTCAGACACAACAGTATCCACCAGTACAGGGTTTTGTGAGATTTCCCTTTCAGGACCTGAAACCCCATAAAATCAAGAATCTGGGCCCTTAGTTAATTCGTCGGAATTGTTTAATTTCACCCCAATACAGCCACCACCCCCCCACCATGCTAACAACAACAACGAAAATCTGGTACACTTCTTTTTTGGACCGGGACTGAATTAGTTTAAAATAATTAGTGAACTCTCTTTTGTAATCTGCAGATAATAATTAATTTAAATCACATCATTCTTTTGCTAGCCCAAACACGCTATCCAAAAGAAAAACTATATCTATTTTCAAACTGTAAGATAAATGGAGGACGCAGGAGTGACGTTCATCGTGCACCGAATTAGCCCCAAATTGCAAATCCCTTTGCCACCTCCCAAGGGATTTGTGGCCGTGGAGCTGGAACTTCCTGGGAACCGGGCCGGGGTCCCCAACTGCGAGACCAGCTGCTGCCCTGGGGCGGGGGCGGGGGGTGGGTGTGGATCCCAGAGTCCCGCCAAACCGAGGAGAAGGCAATCAGTGTCTGCCTTGGATCTGGGATTAGGGGGACTGACCGCTAAATTTTCCGCAAACCAAACAGCTTGTCTTAGCTCAGCGCACAGGAGGCCAACCCAATCGGCCATCGTCAGGCGCTCGAGTGGACCGGCTCTCCCGGCCCCACCGGCCCCACCGGCCCCACCGCCCAGGATCTCCCGGAACGCGCCTCCCACCGTCCCCACCACATCCACGCAGCGGGAAACGCTCAGGAACCCTCGATCGCTAGGCCCGGGAGCAGCCGCCCGGGTCCCCGCCCCGCCCGGGTCCGGCCCGCGTCCCCGTGGCGCCCCACTCACCCACGCACTCGTTGGCCTCGCGGGCGGTGGCGCGCTGCCAGGGCCGGTCGTAGTGGAAGGGCTTGCAGCGGTCACACTCCGGGCCGGCCGTGTTGTGCCTGCAGTCGCACACCAAGCTGTCGTCGCGGTCGCGCACGCAGCGGGCCGCGTGGCCGTTGCACTTGCAGCGGCCGCCCACCTGCAGGTCGGACACGGCGTAGAAGTACGAGTCGCGCGCCAGCTCCGAGTCGTCCTCGTTTTCGTCGCCGAACGTGTGCAGGCGGCTGAAAGCCACGCGGATGTCGGTGGCCGTAACCCAGTCCTGCAGCACCGGCGAGTTGTCGAAGTCGTGCGCCGATGGTCGCCCGTCCAGCGTGCTGAAGGCGATGAGGCCGCCAGAGAGTGGGCGCATGTCGGTGTGTGAGTCGGTGCACACGGCCTCTTGCTCGTTCTGTTTGGTGATGGGCGCGCGGTGCGGCCGGTTGTACATCTTGCGGCACTGCGTGGAGTAGAACTGAAAGGGCACCCACGTGCGCCCGTAGTCCATGGACTTGTAGATGGCCATGGACTCGGGCCGGGGCGAGCAGAACTGCAGGCTCACGTAGGTCACCTCGAACTTCTTGCCGAGCGACAGCGTGAGCGTGACGTTGTGCGGGAACTGCAGGTAGTTCTCCGACTGCCAGCACGTCAGGTTGTGCGGGTTGTTGAGATCGGTGAGGAAGGCGGGCGGGTGCGCCTTCTTGGGGTCCGACGCGTTGCAGAGGTGGCAGGAGCGCAGCCGTTCCTCGCCGCGCTCGCTCACCACGCAGTAGCGCGCCGGGGGCCGGCCGCAGGTGCTGGACACGCGCACGTCCTTGCCGAAGGCCGCGTTGACAAAGTCCGGGATGCAGCGGCGCGGGTGGCCGTTCTCGTCCGAGCAGGGGTCGGGCTGCGCCGCCTGGCCGGCGAACATGCTGAGCCTGGTCAGGGGGCCCCCGCGGGACGAGGGGCGGGCTGGCCGCCGAGGCCTCGCCCTCGGACGACAGCTGCAGGGCAAACCGGGGGAGGGAGCCAAGGAGGAGGGGCCGCGGCCCCTGCCCGCCCCGCCCCGAAGCCGCGGAGGCAAAACAGAAACCTAACGCCGAGGAAACGAAACTAGACGGGGCCCGGCCCGGCCCTGCCCGCCGCCGCCGCCGAGCGTCTCAACCGTCGGGAGCGAGATGGCCGCCGCCGCCTGCCCCGGCCCCGCCGCGCCGAGGAGTCGGTCCGCCCGCCGCAGAAGGCGCCTGCGGAGAGAGGGGAGCCGCGCTCAGCCAGCCTGCCCCGCGCCCTCCAACCCCGCGGCGGGGCGGCAAGCGGGGACGCGGGCGAGCGCCCGGCTTCCCCCGCACCGAACGCCCGCCTCGGTCCCCCGCGTCCCAGGGGCAGGCGAATCCGGGGACCCCCGGCCCCGCACTGCCCGCGCCTCCTTTTCCCCGCCGGCGGCGAGCTGGGGCCGCGGGCAATCTCTCGGTTTCCCCGCCACCGCCACGCCGCCCGAGGGTCCTGCCCGCGCCCGTCTGCTCGTCCGCCGCCGCCCCGCCCGCACCCCTCAATTCGGGCGCGGGACAACTCGTAGAGCCCCTGAGCTCGCACGGCCCGCGCCCCCTCCTCCAGCAGCCCGGGCTTCCCGCTCTGCTGGCCCAGATCGCACCCTCGGCCGGCGAGTCCGCGTTCGGGACTTTACCTCAGGAGAGGGCAAAAGAGAAAGAAAAGTTTGCCCGGCCCCGGCCGGGGAGCCCGCGCGCCGGACTGCGGAGAGCCTCTCGCTGGCTGCTAGCAGGCGCGTCCTGCCTCAGCGCGGGCTTGCCAGCTCCATGCCCGGCGCGGCCGCCGCTGCCCCAGCCCTGGCCCGGCCNCCCGGCGCGCACCCCGCGGAGGGAGGAGGGGCCGGCGGGGGACCGTCCGCGTCGCCCGGCTCCTCGCTGCCCCGGGAGCCCAGCAGGTTTCCGCCGGCCCCACGCCCCGGGGGAGCGCGCAGGCGAGGGAGAGGGGGCGATTTTTCTCCCTCCTGGTCCCGGGCAAACACATCTGTGTTTGTTTTCTTTGCTGAGCCGGGGTCGGGCCTTCTTCTAACCCAGCGTGATGGCCCTCGTGGCACCGCGTCCAGGGCCGTGCCCCGTGGGCAGACAGCCCGGAATCGTGAGAAAGAGGGAGCCTCTGCTGGCTCGCCCCTCCTACCCGCAGACCCTGGCATCTGGAGGCAAAGAGTGGCTCTTCCGTCCCCTCAGAGTTGTCACTATTCGGTGGGCCTGTCTGTAGAGAAAGCAGCCCCTTTCCTACCTGGGGAGTTGTGGTGGGCTGGAGGCTAAAGGGGGTCAAAACTAGACAGCACCTGGACACTGGCCAGCACCCCCCAGGCCTCGGGCTGGAGGTGGCTTAACCCTCCCCAGATCCACCGGCAGCCTGATAAGGTGCTTCCTGGCTCAGGGTGCAAAGGTGCTGTAGCCCATACTATCTGCTAGGAACCCATAGCTGCTCTGCAGAGTTGGTGTGAAAGTCCATTTTGCAGATGAGGGAGGAAACAGTTCTCAGGAGGTGAAGAGACTTGCCTAAGATCTTACAGCCATAGAAAGCTGGCTCCTTCCTCTCCTCACATTCGTCAAACAGATCATCCCACCCAATTCTAGTCTAGTGGGACATCCTTGTGGCCACCCAGCTTCTTGCCTCCTTCTCTGCCACCTTAACTGAAGGGCTGAAGACAGTGACAGCAGCAGCCAAAGCACTTCAGGGGAAAGAATACACTGGGCTGAGAGTTTTGAACTGAACTGCCAGTTGTTAACTTTTAGATGAGTGAGCTGGTAACAGGCCTGGCTTGAAAACTTGGGATACTGGTTCTGGCCCAACAGCTGGCTTGCTGCATTAGCCCCATTGAGTGTCTCCTTTTGTCTTATTGGTATTTTCATAAACTCTGGGAGTCTAAGAAGGGGCCTCAGGGCTAGTCTGGCCCAGCTCAGTCTGTTTGGAAGAGTGCCTACCCCAGCCTCCCTGAGAGATGGCCACCCAAGCCAGCTCTTCTAGGGATGGAAGTTCACTGCAGCCCAAGGAAATAAATCCACTTCATTGCAGGACTGCCTGGATTTATCCTCTGCCCTGGGGTAGAATTTTAACTTTGTCTTCTTGTGCCGGGTACCACTCTCTGCACTGTTTGTTTATGCCATGGCAGAGGAGGATTTCAGGTGACTTACAAGGGTACTTAAAACAAGGCAAAATAACATAAATTAGAAAGTGAGGTGGAAGAAGATAAATGTTTCTTTTTTTCTGTTTAACCCCGTGGACTGTGAAATCTCAATGGCGTCCTGAAAGGCAACGTGGCGGTTTGGAGTTCCAACACCCTTTGGAGTCAGAGTGTGACCTAGGCAACTTTTGCATCTTTCTGTGCCTTGGTTTCTTCATTTATAAAAGGGGGACAATAAGCTCTACCTCATAGGGTTGTGAGCATCAGATGAGTTAACACATGTGAATGTTATAGCTTCTAATATGTGTACACAAATATTGTCGTTAGATCATCTCCATGGGTGTACTTTCATATACGTGTATATGTGACTGTACATAAAGCCAGGCACCCAAGTGGATGTAGACGTGTTAGTTGGTAGTATGACATTACTCGATCTTCATAGAAACTTTAAGTTATTTAAAGAAGAACATTTAATTACATGGAAAGATATTGGTGACATATTATAAAATAAAAAAAGCAAATTACAAAACACTATGCCCCCTCAAAAGGTACGCATGGTATCCTCTCATTTTTATTTTTTTAAAATATGCATAAAAGGACAACATTGATAATTGTGGGTATCTCTGGATAGTGAGGTTACAGGCGATTTTGGTTTATTTTTGCTTGCCTCTTCTTGATTGTGTATGATAAAATAAGGAGAGCTAAAAGAAAGAAAAACCACAAGGGAAGACAAAGCAGAGGTGGGAATAAAAGTAAAATGGCTCTGGGGCTGCCCTATTCACTTCCTGGGGGTGGGCCACAAATTTGTCCTGAAGCTTTTCCAAAGCCCAAGTGAAAAGGAGAGAATGTCAGTCACACAATTTCCAGTGCCTGTGAGATAAAAACAGACCTATTACTCAAAAGAATTACAACTATTCTTAGTACTAAAATCAGTCAGGAATTTGTCCTGGAGGGCCTCCTAAAGAGACCACAGTGTGAGGTAACGAGCAGACACCCTCAGCATCCCCAAACTTCACGGAAGATTTCTGTGATGGGCCATCATGTAAGCTGATAGCATCACACCAGAATGTGAGTCAAGAAGACGGCCTGACAAGGACGGGTCTGAAGAAGGCACGCCGGGCTACCCCACTCCCTTCCTACCCAACATGGTCTAGTTTGGAATATCTTTAAGACCAGATTGGCTAGGGCTCTGAAGACTTCCTTCGGCCATGTTGTTTCTGTCCCAGAGGTTTTTTTAAAATAATCTATTTATTTGCTTGGCTGTGCTAGGTCTTCGTTGTGGCAGGCAGAAAAGCTCTAGTTCCCTGACCAGGGATCAAACCTGGGCCCTGTGCAGGGGAAGCGTGGAGTCTTAACCATCGGACTGCCAGGGAAGTCCCCCAGTTCTTTCAATGAGTTCTCACAGGACACTTTACTGACCACCCCCCCTGTAGCCTCTCCTGACGTCCTCTTAATTTGTCAGTGTCCCTAAGCATACTGTCCTTTGAGGAAGCAAATGAAAAAAACAGATGTCCAAGTGTTGTGAGAGCCTCTCAAAGTGACAGTTATAAATACACACCCAAAAAGGCGTGTCAGGCTCTGAGCAATGGGATTCACAATACAAACTGATGTTCAGAACACCACAGTGAGTTTCTTGGGTGAGAAAACACATTCCCAGGTGTTTGGGCCAGGAATGCAGTCAGGGGGTGGAGTGGGGGGAGGAGGGCAGCACACCATTCTTGACACCTAGGCCTTACCTGGGAAGCCTGAGAATCACCCTAGGAAGATGAGAATGTGGAAGTTTCAGAAAACTTAGAAGTAGCCAGAATAGTGGTGGTGGTGGTGTTTAGTCACTAAGTCATGTCTGACTCTTTTGTGACCCCGTGGACTGTAGCCCACCAGGCTCCTCTGTCCATGGGATTTCCCAGGCAGGAATACTGGAGTGGGTTGCCATCCTTCAGGGGATCTTCCTGACTCAGGGATCAAACCCATGTCTCCTTCATTGTCAGATGGATTCTTTAATGCTGAACCACCAAGGAACACCATACCCAGAATCAGAGGAAGAAAAGCAGGAGACTCAGGTGTCCTAGAAACCAGTGGGCAAGTTTCAAGCAAGGAGGAGTGTGAGCAGTGTCACATGCCTTCAAGGTCAAGATAAATCTGAAAGAGTCCTTTGGATTGAATGACAAGGAAGTCCTTGGTGACCTTGACTGGTAGTGGCAGAAGAGTGATGGGGACACAAGCCAGACCACCCCAGGTTATGGAGTGAATGGGAGGTGAGAAAGTGCAGATAGCCAGTGAAGACAAGTTTCCAGAAGTGTGAAAACAAGTGGCAGGAAAGAGATAGGGTGATTGGAAGGTGACATGGGATTGAAGGAAGCTTGAGATTTTTTATTGTTGTTTATAAGATAAGGCTATTTGAACGTGCCTAAATGTTGATAGGAAGGAGAAGAAGGAGGTTGAAGACAGATAAAACTAGCCTCGTAAAAGGGGTGGTCAGGTGGTCTGAAAGCGTCTCTTGTTTCAAAGACATAAGAAGTAACGCCACCTGCTGAGAGCAAGGGAGCAGATTTGGAAAGGCAGGAAGTCTTGATTGGGTCATTAATGAGAAGGGGACAATGCAGGCCGGTCAGAATTCAAAGACCTATTGAAGTTGGTGACCATCCAGGAGAAAGAATGCCACCCAGGAAAGTCATGCCCCAGCAATGCTCAGTGGCCACTGTATAGACCTGGGGAAAGCAGAATAACCCGATTAATCCATAGTTGAAGGTTGTTGTT